GAAATTCTAGTCGCAAATATCTCGGAAGGTTTAGCATTAATTCGTTGTAGCTTTTGAGAAATGTGATGGTCTTCCCTGAACCCACACCTTCTGACAAATAGTAAATCTTTTTTGAATGCGACAGCTTGTCCGTCCAATACCACACCTACTTCCTACCAGTGAAAAACGCAGTTGAAAACGAGCTCCTTCAAAGCACAACCCAGGTACAAGTCGTGGGCACGATTCAATGCAGGCTATGAGTAGGCCCTTTAGAGGACAATGAAGATGTGGCACTCCCACGCATTGAAGCCGTAGCGCTAGGGCCTTGCAAAAACGGTTTCAACGGCTTCAGTTCTCACCGTCAGGTTATTGTCTGGCGCCCGTTGCTTATCGATCAACGCTATTCTTTCAAGGTTTCAGAGGACTTTTTGCTACCTCACAGAACGAACATAATCCGAATTTGTGCACTGTTATCTGCTAAGTGCGAACATTGAGTTTTCTATGAAGCCACTCGAAACACCTAAAACACCGAAAAATACCTGATTGATGAGAGTCAGTTTTTAATATAACAGATTGACTCTATGAGCCCAGAATTTTTCCCGTGGAGATTGTTTTTTATTACAGTTGGCGAACGTAGACACTACAGCTGTGAGTGTACATTTTTTGTGAGCACATTAGTAACATTATGAAGAAATTTGGAAGCTTACCCACCACAAACTAAGAAACTAGAAAGCTTTAATAAATGATACAGCTCTTTTTTCAGTTATGTCGAAAAATTGCAAATTTTCTGCTTTTTTTCTTTCGAATAACCACAAGAAACAATGAGTTTCACGGAAAGTGGCGTAAGCAGTCGCACAGAGAATCTCATTTATTAAGCGCTCTTATCTATAAGATTTCAGGAGTAGTAGCAGTAGTGGCTTTCCTTTGAACCTTAGGCCGTTGTTTTCAAAACAAACTGCCACTGAAAGAGCTGTAAAAACACCAGATACAAATACGTCCTATAAATTTCACTGACAGCAATTTCTTGACAGTTACCTTTCCCCTTGATACCAACTGACCTACAACAAGAATGATTCATGGTGCGGTTCAGGCATTACGTTGAGGGTTCTAGCTCCACCCATCAACCAAATAAAACTTGCAGAAGTGCGACTTTCTCGATCCAATAATCGGTAAAACCGATTTTCACGTTCTTGTGGTCCCATGCCTGTGAGCATTTCATTTACTCTCCATTCCTGGAAGCTTTCCTGCAGAGGACCAGAGGCAGCTGTCACGTTGAGAAGAATTCTAAAAACAGGACAACTTTCCACTCTGAAGGGGACTGCCTCATTAAGATGTTTACCCCACAGCGGACGGTGGCAAGTGACTCAGCACTTTTCCGAATGAAAATCGTAAAACTCTCCCCAACTACTACAAAAAAAGAAATGATTCTCTCAACTTCAATCACGTCTCCTTCGACTTTTGCAAATTTCATAACCACGGTCCACTCCTGGAAACTGCGAACACATCTGATGCGACCGCATTCAGTAATCACGGAACGAGTGGCCTACAAAGGGCCCATAAAACAGAAGTTTCACCGAAAATGGAATTCTGAATTTTTTCGCAGAAGTAGCGCAACACTTCCAAATATTCTATTTCAGGGTTTCGTAGACATACTGGTTATGAGTAATTACATGTTCTTCGGTGTACTCCGTGCATCACAATTATTCAACAGTTTCTATTGGTCTATGCGACACAGCTATCTACCGACTTGGACCTTTAATCAGCTTTATATATCGATATTCCTGCGATGCTTTGGTGTACTGTTGATGTCTTTTCAACGATATATTACCATGTGCAAGAACGGTAGTCATATCGAGCAGGTAATGACTTCAATGTATTAGTTTGTTCTATAGTTCAATAAACCTTCCAACGCTATCGCAAGATACGGGAGCATCCGTTGGGCCAAACCAAGACAAGGAGGAAAAACGAAAAGAGCCACCCACCGTGGGGTCTCTCTACCCCCGCCTAAGGCTTCATCCTTTTTGGCGAAAAGGAGACGCTTCACGTGGTTTTGGATGCAGCCACCTTAATGCCACCTTATCTTGCAGTAGCGCTAAGGTTTCTATTTAGATCATCAACGTTTCTCATAGATGGGTGTTGGTGGTTTTGCACTGGTCAATACCATTGCTATATGCCCTTCCACTTCTCATCATCAGTAGTGCTACCTTCAGAACGGAAGAGACTTTAGAATTATTAGCCGTGAAGGAGCACATAACGGTGAGTATCACGTGTATTGTTGCTTACCAAATTCTTGTAGCGAAGACCTGTAACGTCTACATTCGTTCTTATCACAAACAAAGAGCAGTCGGGCTTCTTTCGAAGTTCGCCAAACTCTGCGGAATTCACTCATTTTGTTCAGAACGTTTAGAAGGTACCTGAACGACGGATCGGCGTTCGTCCTGCTGTACTGTTAGCATACTCTTTTTGGCAACTTCTCTGCCATCACATGTTCCAGCGTCTAGTAAAACCTGATGAAGCGCAGAATCTTAAAGAAGGAGACGTTGAGCGCTTCCAATCTCCCTCACGACGTGCAGCTGAAGCAATTGGAGATGTTCAGCACTAATGCCAACAAGGCACGGGTGATGTAGTTGTGGGCCGTAAAACTCGACAGTCATATCTCCCCATACCACTTAGCTCATGACCTTCTCGAAAGCGGTGCAGAGAAGTTTGCGCGAGATTGTGGTCCCTTCCTTCACTCGATATGCATCTTCGTTAGAAGTGTGACCCTTCTGACTCTTAAGATTCGAAGGCCTTCTTCGCTTCGCTGAAAGTGACTGCAGCAATCTAACTTCTCGCAACACTTCAGTCATGCATCATTATTCTGCCTTCAAGAATGACTCGCAGGCTGTATTGCAATAAAGACGTACTGGTTTTTCTCTTACCATGCACCTGCACTATACCTTGCATTTTGATGAGTGGTGCGTGATGAGTCGAGCCAGAACTTTGGCGATGTGATGATGATACATTAGCCTATTCTGGTTTAGTCCTGTCGAGACTGGGCGATGTGCGATTCTGTAACAACGGAATGGCGAGTCGAGCCTTGGAAAATAAAACTGAGGATACGACGTATCCATTCTGTTCCAGACGAGAAGTAGCAGATGGACAACCCAAGTACATGTCGTGAATGACTTCCTCCATTGCCCTTCGGAATGCGGTGGCTTCATCACTTCAGCTAATACTGCTACTCCTTGAAACATTCCAGAGTTGATTAGCTAGCAGCTCGTGCGGCTTCATGTCTGCGTGGCAACTTGAGAATTGTAAGAAACCAATCAGACTTTCGGGAATTACGCAAATTTTATTCATTTCTGGTGTGGATTCAATAATTCAAGATGTTTGTCTTTGTCTTGTTTCGGTTTTGGAGGGGTTTCTTGAGCATGCAGGTGAGCCATGACTTTTTGCCATGGAAAAAAGAAAAACACTCGAACGTCCAAGGGCGCGAGTTCGGCTGAACACGTAGCAGCTAAACCGTCGTTCGTCACATTCGTCAATCCTAACTCTCCTCCCAAGAATCGCAAATGCAAACCCACTCCCGTTCGGGTCGGTGAACAGAAGGATCACTCCGACGTTAAATACCACAACTTGCTTAGCAATATCAGTCTTGTAGGAAAGCTACATGTGTAGATATCAGTCGCACCTGCTTTTTCAGTGCTTTTTCAGCTCGGCACTTCTATGGCCGCTTTTTTCGTCTCTACGACTTTTATTTTTTGTAGCGTATGCTATGGTGCTATTCTGAAATTTCTAATCAAAAATCGTTACAGCAGTAGCAGGTGAGGTTGGGTCACTCTCACTCTACCACAAATATGACTCATCCCTAAATTTCAGTGCTGTGAAACGAGAGGGCCGACTTTATGTACAGATGCTAGGGTTGTTCGTCGGTTTCCTGTTCTTTTTCGTTTTCAACATTTTGCAATTTGTATTCTCTCTTTATGCAAATGTGAGTACCATCAGTTTGTTTTATAAAGGTTCAGCGGCTTGCGATTCCCTGATTTTTAGGACAAGAAGTGTTGTCAGTATCATGTTCACCGGAAGAATGAGCAAAGGCTAGTGCGGCCGCTGACTACAAACCAAATAGCTTTTGACTAGCAACTAAGAGACTCAATAGAAGATGTTGCGAATTGCCCTTTTTGAAAGCCGCGATCAGTATTGCTAGAGTGGGGGAAAGCGGTGCAGTTTTGATGGCGTCGCTGACGTGATTGGCGCGAGCTGCAATAGGCGGTCTCTCATTTCAGGTTTTCATCAGAGGAAGATTGCATCGGCGGAATCGGAAATGCGGCAAAACGTGATATTCAGTTGGGTGCCCACAACACCTCTGGAGGGGAAGAGCGTGCGCCGGCGCTCTGATGATTGAAGTTCACAATGCCTACAGGAAGCTCTTTTGAAGTGGCTGTTTTAAAGGTTTCCCTGAGGCAGACTATATACTAGATTACCTCCTGCCGCCAGGAATAAATATGTATATAAATCACAATGAATAGAAAAGTATAAGCAACATATACATGAACATGAGCAGAGGAGAAGTTAGACAGGAATAGCTTTATTTGTAAAGTGACTAGGCTAATAGTGAAAAGAACTACGGTTATATAGTTACGATAAACTATCCAAGTACCCGGATCAGGAGAAGCTACACACTCCAATACATGGAGCTAACGACGAACTCCCTAATTGTATCCTACGATGAAGTTTAAAGAGAAGGTAGTAGAACTAGCTGAAGAAGGGTAAACCGAGAATGTAGAAGGCGTACTGACTTATCGCATAATGGTGAAGGCGTGAAGAAATCGACTGGCATCAGATGATTCGAGAAGCGAGAATATGTTGACAGAAGGGGATAGTGATGCAATTGCGAAAGACCGTCGGAGTTGGCGCGCGATTTGAAGGCGCACGAATCAAGGTCCTGAGCCGCTCAAGATCGGTGCGAAGCTCACAGCAAATCACCCTTTGTCTTGTCAATGCCTTGAAGGAAGAGGTTGGCTTCACTTCAGGTTTTGGCGCAAGTCACGATAGCTTCCAACCACTCTCCCTAGCGATGGATCTAGTCTACTAGTGACGTTCGACGACGTCATCAAAATCGCACCGCCTCACCTCGCTTCAACGCCTCACCGCAGGCTAGCCATCGTGATCACTGCTTTCAAAGCAACAACCACAAATGAAGACGTGTCGAACTCTGTGTAGGAGAGAGCAGCACACTAGTAACGCAGTTGTGCCTCTGTCGCGGCTCAAAAGTAAGCGATAATGGCGCTAGGGCCTTACAGGGTAAGCTAGCGACGGATAATGTCAGCTAATGGACGAGATACTTTGCACATACCCCGTGATACGCAACGTGGATTACGACGTGCAGCCAACTCAACGCGTTAGTCACTGGAGACAGCAGTCCTCGGTAGCTTGAATGCCGGATCGGAGGAGAAGTTCCCGGTGCCTTGCCAACGAACCAAAACCCACCAAGGGCCAGCCCATGACTAAACGTATCGACTTCCTCGATCTCTCTGGTTGGTCCAACCACTAGGCGGTCTGCCTATTCTCAACAAACGATTGCCACTTCCTATCAGCAGTAACGACGTTGTTTCACAACACCGTGGATGAGCGGCCACTTGACTTGGTGCTTCAGACTGTGAAAAAGGCTGCAAGCAGTAGCGGCCTCGCACTCCTCTCTGGTCAGATTGGAAGAACTCTTTGGATTAGCAATGACACTTTCCCGTGAGAGCGGAGGCCTTTATGGACTGCACCACCCGAGACATCTTACTATGGTGGCCGTGCTGTTTAAAGGTTTTCTTCTAAATTCCTGAGCAAAGCAGATTTTGTATATATAATTGAATTATTCAGTTTGTTACACCTAATGCTGTTTTCGGATCCAATATTATTGTATGTCTTTTTTATGACGCAAAGTTTGGAAAGTTTGTAGATATATCCTATATTATTACACAAATTATAAGACTTATAGAAACTATAAGGGATAGCTAAAGACTTCTGGCGGTGACCTCATTGAGCGTGATTGGTCGAATGGTATCAGGATATGGTCCCAACCACGCCTCCAAGCGCCCCTAGAGACTGGTCCACCAATGACGTCTAGCAACGTCTGCATTCTCCAGCAATCGTGTTCACTGCCTTGATAGCTTACATGATCATAATTAGAAATCCAACTGGACCTCTTGCTAGAGAAACTTCAAAAAAGTGGCACGAACTTCTGGGACACCCTAGTGCACTACATTGACTTCGTGGAACCTTTTGAACAGTCTGCTGACATTGTCACTTGAATCGAAGATGATATCATTTTGCCCACGATCTCTTCTTTGGACTGCGGCTCTAATGCATCTTTTGTAGGATGGCCTGACTATCACAGTGAGGACAATATTCCCGTTGCTGAGCTGCTTCTTTTCATACGTGAACGCGTGGATGACATTGATATTAAATGAGGACATCAGGAGGAAAATCCTATTATTAATCCAATGTCGTCCTCTACAGCGGAAGGTGAGTCAGAGAACGAACGTTTTATCACATCAAAGATTTCTTCTAGTTTAATATTTGCTCTCATTGTTTTTCCAAAAGTTCTCACATCTAGAAGAATGACAGTATGGTGAATTAGTTCCACCTAATCCACGCTGTACTGAAGCGGGCTGTTGAGCGCTATTCAATCGGAGCACGGGTACAAACGTCCTTCGAACGAGATTGAGCCTGAAGCAGTTTAACACCTCTTTCCGCGACTAGTCTAAAGCTAACCGCGTTCACCTCGCCGCATGGGCCGCGAAGCGAACAGTGCGCGCGCGCCCCACCACGAACGTTTTTACGGTGGAACCAACTCGTCATATTGATGAATCGTTCTTGTCTCACCTCTGTAGGTTGCGAAATTTCAGAGGATAATGACAACAACATTCGTTGTAAAAAATTCGTGTGTGTAGGTCGATCAAGGTCCTCCTAACACCGTGGACACACGCCCTTCCAAGCAGGTGCTGCTGCTGTCGCATTCGGGTCCGTAAGAGACCCTGTCTACCATTACGGTGAGCAGTAAGATCATCCCTATTACTTGCAAACCTCTCCTGTTGATTCTACCATATCAACGTGTAGTAAAGAGGAACTGTGAAGTAGTCGACTTTTGGGACGCGCCATAAATCCCATTTAAATGGATCTAATGAGTTGACATGGGACAACGGACAACCCATTAACGATGGATGCTCCGGTAGCATGGGAAGCGAGAGATTACGATAAACTATGTGTGCAAGCGTAGCAACGGAAGCAGTAGTCAGGGGCAGAAGTGAGCGAATTGTGGCGTTTTCGTTTTCGTTTTCGTACTTCGTTTTCGCTGAACTAACACGCGAAAACGCTGAACTAACACGCCTTCCGCGCCTGGGGATGGGGATGCCAATCCTTTCTGAGCTCCACCCCTACCGCGTCTGCTCCGCCCATCGGTGTCTTGCTAACAGCATCATTGTTCTGATCTCTTAGACGAAGGTATCCAACCGAGCGAATGCAATAAGTTCACATGGAATGCGTTATCAATCAAAGCATGATCTTTGCTGAAATGATGGTGGCTATCGGTTTAACATGTGCAAACGACCTCCTAATTGGTTGCTAGCTCGTCCATTATCGGGCAAAGAAAGGGTCCCATTTTGCGCCTTCTCGACGGATTTCTTTGCTTTTTCACCACTGGGGAATTATCCTGTATTCCCACTTCCAGTGTAAACCAGGGTGGAAATCGTGTTGAGGAAATGGCCTCCTCTTTACGACCCCCTTCATCAGAGACTCCGATACGACCCCTCTTTACTCTCCGTTTTGTTATGAAATATGTTATTTTCAGAGGTACAAGAGGGAAACAGTGCTGCTGTCACGCGAATGCTTCGCGGTTCAAGTCCTGAATTTAACTTTGCACAAGCTAGCCTTTTTCGAAGAGATCTGACGAACTAACCTGTGATAAACCAAAATAAGAACAGGGAATAGACTTCGTCTAGAGAAGAACGGGAGTAAAAAGGGAAGAGGGTACTGCAGACAGTTGAACAGTCTCGCGCTCCAGTATAGCGGCGCTAACTACCGCGATCGCGTCGCGCGCTGTGCCTAGAGCGCGCTAGTTGGAAAAATCGTCAAATGTACCCCCTATTTAAAGGACTATAACTTTCTTCATTGATAACCATTTCAGAAAAGTGAAGGCAGCTTTTGAATGCACAAGACTTCTAGTTTCTAAATTGTGAGAACTTTCTAAGCACGTATTTTCTCGAGAGTGGGAGACGTCGAGGAATTGTCGAGGAAATTGAAATTTACATGCGAGTTCCCACTCTTCGGAAGACTGTAGCTGTCTTCATTGGCAATGCTTTAAAAATTGGTAATGTTTTAAAAATCGGAACCACCACTGTGAACTAGAAGACGCGTTTCTCGAGAAGCTTCGCGTTTGTCTGGAACACTATTTGTGAGAAGATTGCGCGAGGAAGTTGCTTCTTCTTCTTCTCCCTAGCGTTAGTCCCGCGCAGTCGCAGGGTCCGCTGTCTTTGTCAGTCGTCGCCACTTTAGTCTGTCCAGGGCGTCCTCTGCTGTGGCCATGACTTCACTTAGATCCTTCTTGATCACATCTCTCCACCTCTTCTTTGGGGCTCCTCGCGGTCGCTTGCCTTGCACTTCGAAGTCCATCGCTGTTCTTATCGGATGATCCTGTGGCCTCCTTAGCACATGCCCATACCATCGTAGACGCTGTTCCCGTACCTTCAGCTGGACAGGGGCAGTCTGCATGACCGCTCTAACATCTTCGTTTCTAACTCTGTCCAGCCGCGTCCAGCCGCAGGCCCACCTCAGCATCCTCATCTCAGCGGAGTGAAGCTGCCTTTCGTGGTTCTTGCTCAGGGGCCAGCACTCGCTGCCGTATAGCATCGCAGGCCTTACTACTGTTCGGTACACCTTCCCTTTGAGCGTTCTGGAGCATCTTCGATCACAGAGGATTCCAGTGGACTCCCTCCATTTCATCCACGCTGTGTTGACCCGTGCCTTCACCGCCTGATCCACACTGCCATCAGCTGCCAGGTCGCTCCCAAGGTAACGAAAGTCCTCCACTCTTTCGATGGTCTCACCATGGCCGTCTACGATCGGCTCTGCACCCTCTTCGGAGCTCAGGAACTTGGTCTTCTTGACATTCAGCCGTAGCCCGCCTTCTGCCAGGACCTTCTGCCATTGCTGCACCTTGGCCTGTAGTTCCTCTCTACTATCCGCTATCAGGGCGATGTCGTCAGCGTAGAGGATGGTCTTCAGTGGTCCTTCCATGAGGCCCTTCACCATGGTATCGAGCGTTAGGAGGAACAGGAAGGGGCTCAGAGCTGACCCTTGATGCACCCCAACCGTGATGTTTATCTCCTTTGTTAGGCCGTGAGGGGTGCGTATGGCTGCTTTGGCTCCTTCGTACATGTCCTTCACCAGAGAGATCAGGTGTTCTGGCACGTTTCGTTCCCTGAGCGACCTCCACAGCACTGCTCGCGGTAGCCGGTCGAACGCCTTCTCCAGGTCGAGGAAGGCTAGGTAGCAGGGTCGGCGCTTTTCTCGATACTTCTCCATCACTTGCCTTGCGATGAAGATGGCATCCGTTGTAGATCTTTCGGGCATGAACCCGAACTGTTCCTGGGAGATCGGGACCAGCTCCCGCAGCTTCTTATCGACCAGTCGCTCGTACAGCTTCATGGTATGCGCAGTCAACTTGATGCCGCGGTAGTTGGAGCAGTCCATTGCGTCGCCCTTCTGTTTGAAGATGGGGACGATGGTACTTGTCCTCCATGCATCCGGCATCTTTCCTTCCACTGTTACCTTGTTCAGGAAGCTGGTGAGCCACCTTATGCCGTACTCTCCGAGCGCCTTCCATGCCTCGATTGGCACCCCATCTGGGCCAACCGCCTTTCCAACCTTCATCCTCCCAAGTGCACACCTAACCTCATCCTTAGTCCAGAGTGCGATGGGACCAGCTGTGGCCTCTGCCCGTGAGTCGTTCTTGTGGGGGAACTCCTCGTTCAGAAGCCCCGTGAAGTACTCTTCCCACCTCCTCTTGACTTCGGCTGGCTTTCTTAGGATGACACCATCGCTGCCTTTTACACTTTTCACCACCCTGATGTCTTGAGTAGCACGATGGCGGGCCTTAGCCAGCCTGAAGACGAACTTCTCTGCGTTTCTGCTTTCCAACTTCTCGTACAAGGCGTCCATTTCCGTGTTCTTCGCCTTGGCGACAGCAGCCTTAGCGAGCCTCTTGCAACTCCTGTAGGTGGCGAGGTCTTCGGGGCTCCGGGTCTTCTGCCAGCGCTTGTATGCTTCCTTCTTCTGCTTCACGACTCGCTGGACCTCGTCTCCAGAACCACGCTGCCTTGTCTCCTCTGAATCCACCTCGCGTCTCACCCAGGACCTCCTTGGCACATCGCAGGATGGTATCAGCCGCGCTGCCCCAAGTCCGCTGTATTGGCCCGTTAGGATCTGGGAGACCGACTTCCATTATCTTTCGCCTGAGGTCATCCTTCTCCGCTTGGTGCAGCTTCCACCACCGGATTCTCCTCTCGGTTCTTACCCTTGTCTTCTTGGGGAGGTCTATCGCAATGTCTGCCAGGAGGGGCCTGTGCTGGGGAGCCAGATCTTCGCCGGGTAGAACTTTGATATCCTTCACAGTTTTGAGGGTTGATCTTCTTACCAGCACATGGTCGATTTCCGTCTGTCTCTCCTCCGCTGCTGTAGGTTACCTTCTGAGTCTTCCTTTTCGCGAAGAACGTGCTGCAGATTGCCAGGTCGTGGGCTGTAGCCAGGTCCAGAACCCTCTCTCCCTCAGCGTTCCTCGTTCCTATCCCTCTACCTCCGTGCACTCTTTCTAAGCTCTCTTCCTGTCACTACCGATGTGAACCATTCAGAGTCAATGCAGTACAGGTAATCATTTTCGGACGATAGAGCGGAATTTTCGAAACACTCGAAAACCACTAGTTACTAGTTGAGCCGTAGTAATGAACTTCGAACCAGCTCGAATGCTGTTAGAACGACTCAATCTATATTATTTAAGTAACATAGGTAAACGACCTTGAAGCAGATTACACGCCGTCTGGTAATACGACATGAAAGTGATCGTCCACTCGAGTCGTTCGAAGACGATTTTCTACACGAAAATGACTTGTGGAGGCCGACTTTATGGTCTCAATTAATAAGAACAACTCTTATGGTCATAGTATAATATGATCATTCCTTTATTAACGTTTCCTTTCCATCCTGTTCCGATGAATGACACATTTGCGGCTGCAGTATCTGATGATGCCAAGAAGGCTGCGAATCTGCCTGTTTTGAACTTTCTACCAAGATACTGTTCCTCCACTAGGTTTTCAAAGGTGTTAACATTAATTTAGAGTAGATAATCGCTGCCCATTCCCTACGATTCTTTTGCAGGACGCGTTTCCTTCATGTCTTCGTACTGATCACTACGAACCAAATCAGCAAGCACCTTTCCATTTAATTTTAATTCCAGACAGTGTAAGATATTATTTGCATTAGGCTAACTACAACACTTGTGAAATTAATGATGACAGCAAATA